ATATATATATATATATTTCCAATTATAGTAAGATGGAATTTTATTTTACTGTTTCTGAAGACAAAATTTAATTTTATTCTCAAATTATCATATAATTTCAGCAATTCTTCAAGCAATTCTTATTAAGATCTCTATACAGTATGATCAAAACATTAATCACTATTAGAAAGTAAGAGTTAGTATATAACAGAATATTAGTAAATTTGAAATATTGATTTAAAACTTTAAAACATTTACACTATTACATAATTTTTCTATAATGATAATATTTTACATTTTCAAAGATTTAAAAAAATTTGAATTTGTTTGACATTTTTATGACATATTTTTATATTTTAACAATTATTTGAATAACTACAGTTATTTTTCATATTTCTAGCTATGTTATATGTTTTTATAATTATATTCTATATATTTACATAATGTATTTTGTTGATATATTATAGAACGGATGTGATTGTTTGGTAGAGCAGTTTCCGTTCATCTAAGAGAGAAATCTTAAAGCACCTTTCGCTTTCAAGTATAATTAAACGAAGAATTTTCACAGCTAGAAGCATTATCTGGAGGTATTTAAGACATGAAATCTTCACTTCTTATTTCATTACACTGTATCATTAATCCAGATCAATCATTATCATTTAAATAAACTGAAGACGATTCCAATACATCTTTTTTAATAAAAAAATAAACAAAAAAAGCACAAAAAAGAAATTTAAAAAACGTAGTATTAAATAAAAATCAAATTACGAATTTATGTTAAATTTGAGTCGAATCTCGAAAATATTAAAAATAGAATTATTTCATATCAGTTTTATCAATCTAAATCAACACTAACCATTAACTTGTTGTAAATGTTGTAAATGATGGAGCTCCATTCGTGTGAACTCGTTTAGTTATACGCTGTAAAAGAATTGAAAAGGACAGGCTGTCCAATAACAATAACAGGATGAAACGTCGAAACAATTGGTGAAACAAGTCAGATGTGGTTGCAATTGACAGCACAAAGGATACGTTTGCAGACTCGAGAAAAGAGGCGATGAAGAAAGGAGAAATTCTCTTTCCTCTTTCCGTGATACCGATTGTCGCCGTGTTTCTTTCGCGCTTCGATTTGCTCAACGCGAAGGACGCTTTCTTGAAAACTCTTTCTCCATTGTCCTTTATCGCATATCCTTTCGTTTTCGTTATCGCAACACATCTACCTTGATATCTATAGAACAAAAATTCCGCATTTTTCTTATGTATTTTTATATACATTATATACATTTTTATATACATTATTCATTCATCGTCTCACGATTTAATAAATAAAATTAGAAATTAAGGTACCTGAGTCGAATAAGGCCCAGCACTAAATAAAGTCCATTTTTTAATTTATTACTTTAAAACTCACTTTAAACTTGCAGTATATGCTTAAAAGATGATGTCATAGAAAGTAGATAAAAAGGAATTAAAGAATTGGAATCGATAGCAACACGATATGTGTCCCATAGCAACATTTGTTTAATACAACAAAAACTTGTGTGTTTATGAGATTTTTACAATCCGCTGTAAAATTTATTTAGTATACAATGTTTCATAATTTATTATAATTCATTATAATATTATTCAACTGTCTAACTATAGAAAATAATGAAACAATTTTTTGAAATAAGTGTAAGTATTTTTTTTAAACAACACTTATTAAATAAGGCTTACTTATATGATTATTATTATAGCTATTATTATTTGTTTAGTATGTATAGGTTTTCTATACATATTAATTCTCTTTACGCCAGAGAATAACAATTTTAAATGCTGCTATCTTTTAAGATTGTATTCAAATTGCTAGAAATTTCTAAAGATTAAAGAGTTAATTACAAACAAAATTAAAGATAATTGTAATATTTGAAAGTAGAGTCTTAAGGAATTTCCTTTCTATGATTAATAATCATTTAAAACTGATTTAAAAAGATAATGTTTACTTTCTTTATTACTTTTAATTTACTTTTGATTTGAATTTACTTTTATTTATTATATTCATATATATATGTAACAAAACTCAATATCAGAGTTCAACAAAATTTTTTTTCGTTTATTTACACATATTCTATATAAATAATATTTTTTTTAGAGTAAATGAAATGAAGATTTGATGCTTACTTAGTTTATTTTAATATTCCCATAAATAAAAATTTAAAAAAGTAAAATAAATTAGGTGGGCCAAATTTATATTATGTGCGTGCGTGCGTGCGTGCGTGCATCGTGCGTGTGTGTGTGTGTGTGTGTGTGTGTGTGTGTGTGTGTGTGTGTGTGTGTGTGTGTGTGTGTGTGTGTGTGTGTGTGTGTGTGTGTGTGTGTGTGTACAGAATCCATTTTAAATAATGCATTAAGATTTCTTGAAAACTGTGATAGATACGGAAAAATGTTTCAAACAAAAATTGTGTGATTCAGAGGGGAATACAAGATGGTACCTTTGATTTGATCTTAGGTAGCGTCGCTAAGGTCAAATCGAAGTCAATTTTTTTTTTAATGGAATATCCTATTTTTGATGGCAGAATCTAATAACTGGTGTTAAGAATTTTTCAAAACACTATAATAAAATTATTTTTCATTACGTACTTTTTGAGTTATAAGATTCGAAAGTTACAGTACCGCCGACATTAGCGTTACGCAAGGTGTCCGACAACTAAACCTTTTGAATATTGTTCGCGATCATGTCCTGGATAACATTTGTCAAGATCAAGGCCATTGGAGATTATTCCTCTTATTTTCATTTTTGCACTAAAAATTTATTTTTACAAAATATGGAGTAATTTAGAAATTTACTTTAATTTCATATTCATAAAAACTTCGAAAATGGTGAAATACCAGTATCGTTTTTATATTTTTCATGAAATTTTTACTGCGAATACATATTTTATCTTTTTTATATTAAATATCTAATCGTGATAAACAATTTTACACTTAAAGTGAAAAACATTTTTTTTTCATTTTTTATTTGTTTTATTTTTATTACTGTTGAAGAAAAGAAATGCAGGTTTTATACATACACTTGTTATATAAATAGTCTCAATAAATCTCCTATAAAACACAGAGAGCTTTTTGATCCATCTATTTTGCATTCTTATCTCCGCTACTTTAAATTTATAAAATTTGATAACAGATTTGTAATCAGAGTTCATGACACACTTGAAAACAAACTTTAAAATGAATTCAACGACTGTAGTACTAACACTGTCTTTTATTTTATTTTCTTTTATTCTGCTTTATTCTGTCCGCCATATTGAATCCGTCATCTCGAATTTTGCAATTGTTTACATGACTTTGGATAGCTTATGTCTGAAGCTACATTTATGTGGAAGATGATTTTCCTAGTCAAATACAATTTTGAAACGGTGAATGGCCGACTTTCTCTGAATATCTTGCTCATCATTAATTATTTCATTATCGATCTATTATTGGGGTATTGTAATTTTCTCATACGCATTTGCAAGCATATTCACATCTGCGTCTCCATCTGTTCTCTTACCTAATATACTCCATAATCATCAATTTTCGCAAAACTGAAATCGCAATAGTGTCTTATAACTGTATTATTATCGAGTTCTTCTTTAATTGCAGCAATATCCTCTGTAACAGGAATCACAGTAGAGTTTGCAACTATATTTGCAGGTGCATTTCTTCATTTAATTGTAAGGATATCCGCAATAATAAAAATATATTCGCAGAATAGTCTATAATTGTATTAGCAAATGGTATGTTTCTTTATTTAATTGCATCAGCATTCCCATCAAATTTCGCAATGAAAATCGTAGCAAAATCTATAACTGTATCAGTACATCCTTTCTCTCTTTTAATCACGATAGCATCCGCAATAACTTTCGAAACAGAGATCGCAGCAAAATCCGCAACTTTATCAGCAGAAACTTTTTTCTTTTAATTACTACAGTATCCACAGCAACTTCTAATAACGGAAATCTGCAGATCAGTAAGGTCTGCAACTGCATTTACAGTAGTTGTTCTCATTGCGATTGTAGCAGTGACATCTATAACAATTTGTTTTGGTATTTCCAACGATACTACAGCAGTTCCTTTTGTCACGACTAATAATTGATCCATAAACTGTGTTTGCAATCACATCTTTTATTCTTGAACAAAATGCATGCCTAAATTTTTAACATACATAATAGTAGCTTTGTTGAAGCCCTAGACTAGTGAATCGTTCATTTTAGAAAAGCTTATTTCAAAAGCTTTTACCATCTATTTTAAATATATTTTGCAGAAAGGCTTTATTTTTAGCCACTGAAATAGCATTAGGATACTGTTTCATTTAAGAAAGAGCTTCATTCATTGAAAAGAGCTTTATTTTTTAAATTGAGCAAAATATTTTCTCATATTTTCCAAAACAAAGATTTTATAGTAGCATCTTTAAAGCGATTGAATCAATTACTGACTAAATCCGCGGCCTCCTTTTTAACGAGCTCCTCACAGCAGCATGTTAAACGATCTGAAGGAACACGAAGTAAACCATCATCATCCCAACAGCCACTTTGAAGTTCCTTCGATGTCAGCTGTCGAGAGAAATACCACTGTTTCCCATCCAAGTCTCCGCGAGTATAAAATGCTTCGCGGATACTTTTGACTTGCGTGATCTCCGTTATGAGGCATTTGCCAAGGTAACTGATCCGAATGTAGAGCGAAATTGTGGCAGCGGTATTCCGGAAGTTCTCGTCTAACAAAGTGTACGTTCCCATTATAGACCTAAAATAACGTACACACCGTATTATTAAACTTCTAGGATTACACAGGACGTCCCTCACTAGTGTATTTTCCTTGAAAGAAAATGGTACTTCCTTCCAAGGAAATAGTTTTTTACGAATTTCCTAGTCAATCGCTCAGACATTTTTTTTTTAGAACGCCTGATACTCTAATATAACGTAATCGTATTATTTGTAAAAATAATATTGCATATATAACACTACAAAAGAATATAATAAATGAAATAGTAATATATTTTAACGAGAGCAACACATTTATAATATTAACTCTTTCTTGATAATCAATTTCTGATAAATATCCCAAAGCAATCGCGATTAGACAGTAAGTGCTCGAAAAGTGCTTTTGAAGTAAAAAGTTCTCTCCCATATCAACAATCAGTTTCTCGATTTTCGGTATTATCACCTCGAAATAATCTGTCGTTTATAGAAATCCGATAAGTGTTCCATCAATTCGTTCCGCTCCCGAATCTGTTTGGCGATGCTGTTCAGCAGATTATCAACCGATATAGCGACGAAGCCGATTTTCTGGCGCGAAATCATTTCAAAATCCTTGCACACTTGTTTCCGAACGTATAACTGGACATCAACGCCGTCCACTTTTTTCTCGAAGAAATCCGTCGGCACAGAAAAGACAACGGAACTGCCGCCATAAAATTTTTCATTCTCATAATTGGATCCTTGATAAGGACGAAAATCGCGTCGATTTGGCGACAGCGATATCCAATCGTTATCCAGCATGCGAAACATGACGATTGTCTTCTTCAGGATAACTTTGTCAAAGTCCGTAGTCCAAGGGACAAACAACTGTTGTCGCAATCACGAATAATTAATATTTGAATAATTTATAGAAATTTATAGAAAAAACAAATAATTATTAGAAATTGTTGATAACAATAATTAATTACTTTAGACATAAATATTGAAACAAAAATATAGAAATGGATTTAGGTCTTAAATTAAGTCCTGAAGATTAACCATTGCATATCCCAGAATTTCTGTTGAAATTTTTGACAATATCCATGGATGTATATACAATATAATATATAT